TATTCGGTCGTTCGTCTAATTCTGCGCACGCAGGTGGTGAGAATATGAAATCCAGGATCAGGCGCATAAATCCGATGAATAATCCTGACATCAGCCCCCAGAATGCACCCTGTTTATGAGATAAATCATTAATAGTATTTGTGTCTGTAGGCCTACGTCATCTGGTGACATTTTGGTTTACGTTAATTTTCGTTGTCAACGAAGTCTTTTACGAACCAGTCGAATGAAAATAATACTCAACGAAAATTCGTAGTCAACGAAATGAATCAGTCGCATACGCCCATTAATTCTACTGTGGCACGGAGGGAGCTAGCTAGCAGCAACTACCGTAGCAGCCGTTGTATGATACTTACTTTTTCATTTGCTCTTGTCCAGAAAACCGCTAATAAGAAAGCAGCAAAGAATGGTGGGGCGAAGAAAGATGCTATGGACTGGATGTAAACGAATAGTTCTCCGGATCCATAAGCTTCAATCAAAGGTAGCCACAAAACACTAACAAACACAAGTCCGACGGTGCAAACTCTGTAAAAAAAAAAATATGTTAACAGGTGTTATCCCACCATCCGGTGAATATAAATAAATAATTAAATTACGCTTCTTAAAAGATGTTTCATTTACAATATTTCACATTAATCCTCTTTTAAATAATCATGCATCTTCTGTTTATGATGGCTTAACTGCTAAGAAAAGTGTATGACTGATGCGTATGTATGTGTTCAGGAATACACAATCTGACGATGTATGCTTAGAAAACGTTACCTCATGATTCATATAAAGAATACCTTACCTGCCGACTATCATCAACTCTGCTTCCGAAGCCTTTTTTCTGATCATGAGCCAGATGTCGATAGTGAAGACAGTACTAGCGCTGTTGAAAATTGATGTCAGTGAACTCATGAGAGCTGCTAACATGGCTGCCATCATTAATCCCTTCAAACCTTTGTCAAAAAGATAATCGACAAATTAATATTTGTAGACAGAGGCGTAAAGGTCTGAAGACTCTTACCCTTACCCTGGAGAAAAAGCTTTTCCTGCATTTGATGTCTTACGAATGAGTTAATGCTCCTTAAGAATTCCTGACTCAGCCAATGCATGTGTCAGAATGCTCCTTTAACAACTGAGGCCTCTTGCTTTAGTGAGCAGGGCGGATTTAGTGGGGGGGGGGGGAGAAAGAAAAAGAAAAAAATGATAGCCCAGAACGCCTCAAATTTTATTGTCGGGCATCTAGCATCCGGGGGAATTTCGCAGGGGCATGCCCCGGACCCCCTAGGGTAGTGATGTCTCGATCGGCTCAACTTTCGGCCCCTCCCCTCCCCGTTTGGACATCTCTGGATCCGCCCCTGGTGAGAACTCATCTGTTACGCCAGTGTTTGATATCGACTTTCAGTGAGTTATTCTGTTTGTCGGTCGGAAAGTCAGTAAACCTTAGGCCTATCTCATTCATATCTCCAAGTTAATTAAATCAATAATAAAACATATAATGTTTTGAATATTTCAGTGTTTCAATATACGATTTATTTCTGTTATAATTATGACTGTTAGTGGCCTGTACCTGTTGGCATTAACTCTAATACAAGCTTTGGGTATGCGATGTTGCTGCAACCTGCAGGAACACCGCAAATAGCTTCACACGTCGCAGGATCAGCACAAGCTACTTCATCTGAAAGTTAATAACAATAATATTAAAAACAATATTTTTATATTATTTTTGATATTTATTTACTTATTTTATTAATATCATGATGAAGATATTAAAATTGTAACAAATGATCAATTTTATACTGAGAGTGTTTTAAGCTCTATCAGAATTATAAAATTTACATTGACAAAAACCAAAAGGTGTGTACCCATAATATACAGTCATGATGTGCCTTTATATGTTAATGGTGTGATGTCATTATGACCATATTTAGACACGTTTACCTGCTTTTGTCAACTGAATTGAATAGTTTGGACAGTGCTTTAGGACTTACCAGTATAAAGAGCTCTACTTATCATTCCGGGAAATA